CATGCGAACAATGTGCTGACAGAGCTGAATAAGTAAGTAAACGATTTTTGATTTACTACTGGCATTTCGATCGGTCGGTCTGGGCGTCCGTTCATCTGCCTCTCTCCAGCAGCTTCGTTTATCGTCGTACGTCACTTACTTGTACGCGTGAAGTCTGAGGAAGCGCGCCCTGAATTTATTTACTTTTTATATGTTTGGAGCACTACACATATAGCGCCTGCGCACAATAGTCATCCACATCAGTTCAAGATGAGCCAACATGAAAATAACCCTAACATCTAGAATAGATCTGCTAAGACCGCTTTAGCTGTGATTGTGTGTACGTGTAAGTTTGTTTGTAAATGTGAGCTGGCACTAACTGTCATTTCGATAACTTTTTGTTAATTTCGAAAAATTGTAACTTCGGACTTGACGCAGTCTTCTATTAATAGGTAAGAGAAGAAACTACACCAATCAAACGCGTCTGCTCAATGAACATGTAAGAAGTCATCCCAAAAACATCTTCCGTGAACTGAAGTCGTTCATAGCCATTAAAACAACTTTGTACGTTTTGGTGTAGGGAAGTTAAAGACGTGATCATCTGCTATACGACACGTTGAACCTGGTAGTAATTGATGTTTTGAAAAAAATAGGAAGATGAAAAACTGGTAGCAAAGTCAATTTTCAACATCTTACATTTTTTCTCGAAGTTGACCATTTTGAGATAGGTCATATTTACTTCAAATCGTAATAAATAGTAACATAGGCATATCGACACATATGGCCAAGGCCAAATTAGCGCATCGCTGATCAACAAGGCATCCGATTAATTAAAAAAAGATCCATATAGATTAGCTCAAGTAATTATGCCATATATAGAAGCAAAGTCAAGCACGGCGATTTAACTTCCCACATTGGAAATATGTTTGCCCCCACGCCTCTTTCAATAGAGGAGAAGCAGCTATCTGCGAAGATAGATTGCCTGTGGACCTCAGCTATTCATATTCTATATCCGTTCTTACTATCAGTAGAAACTGACGAGCTTTTCGGCTTCTGAACCAAATCTCTGGACGTGAAATGCATCTATCTTATTGCCTATTACGAACACACACAGACAGGTAACTCACGCGTATTTCAACAGCTCAAAAAAACAAGCGGCCAGTTTGATCCCCAGGATGAAAAACGTACGCCGTTCGTTCTTTTACACTGAGCCCTTGTTTTCAATGTTTTTTATTCCTTTTTTTCGCCTTGTCCTGACATGCCGACAGTATTTATTGTACTCGCAGATGAGTCGCTTACAGATTACTGACGGGGTATGCCACAATCTGTGTGAAGACGTCGACTTGAGCACAAAACGTTTGTGTACCGGTGACCAATGCGCGGTCCCTTTCAGCTCATGAAAGATGGGAGCGCCCTAGCAAAGCTCAACGAAGAGATTTTTAGCCTTGCCAGCAGCACGGAACGTTCGGCCGGGTGTTGGTCACCAAGGCCATACAACAATGAAGACAGAAGTTTGCAAGAAGTCTGAAGCCTTAACTGAAGACTGAAAATACATATCTGGACAATGGGGTAGCACTTGTCGACTGGATATAGATAGCTGCGAAAAGGTAAAGTTGTGAAAGGTATCTAGCATTAATGTCCTAGCGGAAACTATTGGCACAGAAGAACTTCAGGTACCTCGGGCCTGCTATTTGTCAGTGTATTGCATAAAGGATAATGGGGTAGTTGGGAACGCGGCAGGCGCAATGTCTTGAAAAATCAACATTATTCACAGAGTAACTGATCGAGTTAGTAACGCTACCTGATGATAACGTAGTTTTAATAATTTGGTGCATAACACAACCTATCACTATATCCATAGGTGTATTCAAGGTTCAGAGCTAAGTTTGCAGGATGGTAATAGTGCCAATATTAACCGTACGCCATGAGTATACTCGCAGCGTAACTGCGAATAAGTTGCTAGTAAAATGTGTAGGTAACGTTTAATTAACTTAAGCCCAGCCCTACTTGGAAACCAATTGTACGAAGAATCCATATCGCTCTCAAAACTTTTAAACACCCGCATTATAGGTATATAATGAAAAAAATAAAATCGAATAGGTCTTCCTTTACAGTTTACGGGTGCTCTTTCATCTAGCTGGTTAGTAGTACATTTAGCTGAGAAAGCTCGACGCGACCCGTACTTGTGAGATTGAGATTCAGCTCAACTTATCATTCAGCCACTCCCAACATAGTGCTTTAAGTGGCTGCTACTGCCGCCGTCCTTGCCATAACCGGTCTCGTCATTTTAGTTGTTAATTGAAATCAAGACGCGTGCAAGCAGGCGTCTCAGGCGGCGTGGCCGATGAAAAAGTGGGGACGCAAGATCAACCCGTCATTGCCTGCCTAACGTGGTGTCGGCGCGCGAAATCGCCGAAACGGCTAAAAGCAGAGAGATAAATAACCAACAACAAAAAAAAACGCGAGAACATAGGAAAAACGACGAACGCTTCGTGCCTTTTCGTTGCTTCTGTTGTTGATTCCCGTTCGTTCGCTATTCTTTACGCGGCCACAATGGGAGGGAATGCTGGGACTGCCCCTAGACGAAGCCGTTGGCTCGCCGCAATGTTCCCGTCTAATGGAAGGCCTAGAGAAGCGGATGGTGAATAGCAAAACTCCGATGCCGTCGGGCCGGTCGAGTGTTAATAAGAGTTATTGGCCTGTCCTAACTGTTTTTGAGGGGCAGGGAGCCTGCAGGACTGATGAAACTCCTAACATCGCCGGTTCACACAACACCACCCTTAGTGCGCTATCGGTATTAATTCAAGCACAGTGTATGAAGGATGCAACTATAGAAAATGTTCAAAGCAGTTCTACCGTTGTAGCTGGCTAATGACGGAACCGAATATGACAGACACGATCAGGCGACGTTTGTTTGCTATTTCCGAGCGAATTTAGCCAGGGACCTTAAAAATTGACCGGAGTAATTTTTGCAGTATCCATGCTTGTGGTTGCACTCCTAGAGAACCCAGCTTTCTTTGCGATAGTGCCGGGTGGTAACCGGAAATAACAATAGACGAACTCGTTCTGTTCGAAATTCTGCCTATCATTATGATGTCTCATAAAGCTCACTATCAGGTTAGGATTTTTTTCTCGACAAATGTATAATGATACCGTTAACAGTTAACACTGATAGAAGCAACCCAATGAACTGTCGGCAAATCGTTCTTCAAATAGGCCCATCCCATTGCCTAGCTTCTAGAGCGTACAGAGACCGCGTTTACTCCTTGAATCTCTATCAAATAAATATATATATATTCATTTGTGGACAGATAAGTAGACGCAGCGGGACTTCAGCGGAATTTGCAATAGATGTTCACAACAACTAATGTAGCCAGACTTTTACTTCAATCAGGTCCGATGGAAACCGAGTAAGATCAATACGTAGTTCATATCCGCTTGACCTTGTTAGTTATATGGACGATTCCACGTCATTACGGCACATCGTGGTAGCCTATAACCGTTTACATACAACAGAGCCAAGTATTTGATTGCTGTGGTTCCGTAAAATCTAAAAATGAGCAGAGCAATTGATGGCCGCCCGGACAACGACGGCCGTTCTATGAGGAAACGGCAAAGTTGGAATGGGCGATACGTTCTGCGTTGACGGCTAATTATTGCTCTGAGGCAGGCGAAAAATACGAAGGCGTTCTAATTAACTAATCAATAGCCAAAAAAAGCCTGATGGGACTGAATGGTCCAGAAAGAAGGAACGAGAAACAAAACACGTAAAGAGGACCAAACATTGCGCAGGCTAAACTAAACGAGTAAACCTGCCGGCCACGTTGCCTGCTCTTACCATATCCAATCGTCCGTCCACATCTATGTGAAATCTATCAACTAGTGGGAGAATAGTTACCAAAAGCTATCCAGCAACGATCCCGAAACAAAACCTTATCACATATTAAGACGGCAGTTCGCTCTAACAAATGACGGAATGCCGTCTATGTATACTCTAATTTTTTTCTTTGAATCGATTTAGCCGCAATTTTTTAGTACTTTCTAAAACATCCATATGTGTTTTTTGGTTGATATTTACACTACGAACAAAACTCCGTAGATCAACTAAGCCGCCAAACCGTATTCTATAGTATTTATGGGAGAAATTATGAGAAATTCCAATTGAGTACAATCTTCAGTCACCCTGCACGTGTGTTTATATAGCACTTCGATCGTAACCGCTGCCGCCGCCATTGCTACCACCGCCCTCGAAAGTGCCGTTGGTCCATTGTTCTGATAAGAAATGGGGTGTGGGCCGCCGCCCGAGTCTTTAGTTTCCGTATAGCTCAGCCCGGGCTGAAGCCGATACAAACCATCGGATAGGATATTAAACTACATGCTACTGTATGCCGTCAGGGCCTTCGGCCGTTGACTCGGAACAGCGACAGAGGTGAAGCGTGAGATTCATGTTTCTAATGAACAGGGAAATATTTTAACGAGGGATCGATTTGTATATTCACACGTGGAACGGAGACTCATCGCGAGGCTGCTAAATGCCTGCATGCCTGCAAATGAACGTTGCCGACCTCTCGGCGACATCGTGAAGAGAGCATTGATTTTTCCTAAGCCATTCGTTTCATATATGAAGTATTTTAATCGTTAATTGAAAAACTGCTTTAACTAAGTGAATTGCCCTATCTTAATTTAAACTTTATAGCTAACTAGTCACACAGCGTTAATCAGTTCGAAGCACCAACAGTGACAAAGTTAGCTCGTATCAACCTTAAAACTACTCCTGTTTCGCCAACCCTACGTCCTGCAGCAGGTGACAGTACCCTTACAGATACTACAGTTCTCAAGTTGCGTTAGCGGGAACCCTGTCCTGCTCCGATAGGCCTGGATTCTAAGCAGGGGGACTCGGACTAGCGAGCTTTTGCCACTGAAGCTAAAAGGTGCTCATACTGTTGGAGATTTCTGATAACTTGCGCTTCCTATATATATATGTTTCTATCGTTCTCTCGCACGTTTTTTTCTCTACTCACCTTTCGAGTTGGTAGAACAGCGTTGAAAGTTCGACAATAAGATATGATTTCGTCCGTTACAGTTGAAGCTCCTGCGGCTGACTTGGCCCTCACCGCATGACACGTTGCCGCTTAGGTTGTGCCACTCCAAAAACAGCCAGTTGTAATTTGTTATAAGTTTTGCTAGTTGCTGTCAAAGTTCGTTTGTGTGCCTGGCTACTGGGGCCTCGTAGTACTGGCTGCAAATTAGGGTGCGTTAAGGCATCCGGTACCTGAAATTGAAATTTACATAGTAAGCCTAACCTGACAGGGGAAATCTTTGAGGTGCACATGACCGTCACAGTATACCCGATGTCCCAAAGGTTAGCAAACTATTGTAATTCATTTGTGTCTGGACAGAAATCAGCGCTTTACTGGAAAGCATTTTCCTATCGTTCTGAATGGTGATAGGTAATGAACCTAGGCATGAAACGATAGTGAAAACCACTTGTGAAATCGATATTCAATGATTCACCTTCTATGGTATATGCTATTGATATTTGCATGCTATTATATCGATAGCACTCAGTTATTACTGTTAATTTCATTGTTTTTTAATACGACCGTGTTTCAGTGCGCCCTGCAAACGAGAGGGTTAGATTTCAATGAAAGACCCTGTCACTTAGTCATAGAAGTAAAATGGCGAACAACAAATATTGAGGTAGAGCGAAGAGAGGTTAGACTCGACACGTATTTGAGTTAACTAACGAGTTAGTTTATTATCAGGACGTGAAGTGTTGCCAAAACCTCCTCAGCACTCAGCCGATCCCATGGCAGCTTAAAATGTTCCCCGCCTGTTCCACGCGCTCTCCGCACCAGAACCCTTCGGACAGCAAATGTGCAATGGTACTCCCTTAATGGCTGGCTGTCATGAAGAGTCGCACGGCAACATTTGCCGGTTGGGGCAACTCCCACGAACATTTATACACCCCACGGCACTTTCAACCTACCGTTTCATATCTCCCTCTTGGGTACACATGTAGTCTCTTTTTCCTCTGCGTAGCATGGTCGTGAACGTCATCGGCGATCTTTTGCCAGTTCTCCGTTTGACAAAGCAGCTCACTTAATTGCTTTGGCTTTCGTTATAAGTTGGTAAAACAAAGAAAAACGGCAAGGAAAGAAGAAAGAAAAATAGGTGTTTCCACCTCTCTACGTTAGTTCTCTGGTGAAGCGTCCCAGCTCATAAATCGCCTCGGGTAAAGTTTGCTGAAGGGGTTTAGGGTAAACAGTTAAGGAATGATTTAGAAGGGGGCCGCTCAAAGGATTTAAACAGTCCTATCTCTTCGTCGACTTTTATTCCCATAAGAAGCTGCCTGCTACCCCTGGGGACTGAGGCGCCAACGCCTCGTTCAGTGGAACAGTGGCATAGATCCATCGGCTGAATTGGACGAAAGAAGATGCCCACTCTATCATTCACTGCGAAGCAACTGTTGTTAGCTCAACTATAGCCAGTATTGTAGCCACATAAATGCAAAAGGCGCCTTGATTATTACCACATTACTGCAACAGAGTCCAAGGCTCCGTGGGCATGGAGCATGGCGTGGAGGTGTTTTCAAAAGGCATTGCAAAAAACGTTATATTTAGCGAGTTCTGCTTTCTGAGTTCGTCCCACCGATTTGCTTCGTAACCCTCTTAAAGCCCAAGACCGAAGATAACTGATCGACGTCCTCTGCAGTCACGGTCAAGGGTTACTGCAGAGCCACTGTATCAGCCGTGCTCCCCTATAGCGAATAACAAAGGTTAACGAGCATTGATGTAACCCTACGCCAATACTTCAGCCTTTCGGGGAATAAGTGACGGCTCTCATTTATGCTTGGACTTAATGGAGACCACTGTTAATAGAGATATCGTAGTAATAGTATGCCTCGACTGTAACGGCTCGACGCCGCCCCTGTAGAAGATTCGAGAATGGATCAGGCGCGATGGGAAATAGACCAGTCAGAAAAACAGATGAGCTACAAAAGTGAGTTCTGCCTTATTTTTCGCTTTTAACTCTATAGATGAAGCGCTATTGCTAAGTGAGGATAGAAAAAGAAATTCTATTTAAGAAAAAAAACTAAGAGAAAAATTGGTACAAATTTCAATATTTGAACGACGTCGTGAGAACGTACCCATAGCGCAATACAGTTGAAATATACAGTACGATTAATAAATATTTACTTAGATTTTTTCGGTTAATTCGTGAACCCTAAAAAGACACTTCCCGGACATCAGTTAACGTGAACTAGTGGCGTTGCAGGCTGTCGCCACGCATCGGTACCGCTGGTACTATTGGTTCCTTGCTACTAGCAGGGGTTTTATATCTTTTTCCAACTTTAAAGGAGTGCTCTGAAGGGATAACTACGCGACCACTACTTCTACCTATGATAGGAATTCTTCGGTGTGGACACCGCCTCGATAGAAGATAAGGATAAATAGAGAAAGAGTTTTCAAAGAAAAACCTTTTGGGACCTAATCTACTATTTAGGCGTAGCATCGGTTAAAACTGGAGAGAAAATTTCTCAGGGGCGATGAACAAGACTGTAGCCGGGAACTACCACGCTATCCGTGCTCCACCGCAGAGTTGAGCAAGAAAATTAATTTTCCACCTCGTGGAGCAAAAAGTTGAATTTCCACCAGAATTACTCGAGCTATAGCAGTGCTCTGGGCCCTGTCCAGTCCTTGTTGTTTCCCAAATGAGCGCCGCATTTTTCCTTACTGCCTACGCGGCGCTTGTCGGCCGTCCTGCTGTTTCTAAAGGACGAAGAAGGCCATCCAAAACTCCGCTGTCCGCTCCAAAAAACACTCAGTGGCCACTTTTTCCGTCACCGAGTTTTCTACCTCGCCTCGTATTTATTTTAGCTTCCACTCTTCACAGAAAACTTCGAAGGGATGGCTACGTAACACATTTTGCCTTAAGTAATTATTAGATCCGTCTTGTCTTTCCTTGCAACTTTGTCGTGTTTGCACTCGGATTATTCGAGACCACCCTTTGAAAATAAACAGCTGCGTCATCACTCTAGATGTGGCTTTGAAACCTATTTTACGAAAGACTCCTTTGATTTTATGTTGAAACTTCATACGGTACACACATATGTATAGACAACATGTGTATATACCGTATATATGTGTCAATGGATGAAGGCAATAGTACTTCTTTAAGCTAGATAGTGAACATCTTAGAATCAATAACAACAGACGCTTAGGCTTTATGAGGTCTTCAAATTTTTGATAAAGGAACGATTTACATACACCGAATGCGGCAGTGTTTACTCCAGACATTTGTTTTACGCACGAACCTTCTATGGCGGGCATTCGGGGCGCTACCATGCTGATGTTAATCAATTGAGAACACCCTGGTATATTTCCACGATGGGATAGTTTGCGATTATAGAGCTAATCGCTATTCGTTCTAATTAGTATTACAATAACAGCAACCTGAACAGCACTAACGTAGTGAACAAAAATTTGAATAAGCCAGGTTTTTCCTTGAGAAACAAAGTTGTCGGCCTTAAGGCTTTAGAGGTCCGATGGTAGGAATAAGAAGCTTAGTTGGGGGCGACGATCGGTATGTTAGGCCTATCATAACATGTATTTGTTATAGCATTTAGGTACACTTCACACAAATTTCGATGGACATATAAACCAAAAAAGATCAGCACGAAAATTAAATTCAAATCCAGCCCAGTCTCTTCGCTTTGTTTAAGTGCCCTGGAGCATTAGCATACGCTGTATTATTTTATATGTGTACACTGTATTTCAAAATCAGCGCGCATAGATCTGCAGCGTACGAATCAGCTTAATAACAGAATTATTCAGTAGCTTTACACAAAGCTTGCAGAATAACGGTCGTCGTACGTGACAATTAAAAGTATATAGCTTCGCTTACCAGTTGACGTCGACGTTTTGGTCTTTTTGGTCAAATAATCTTTCCGTTTAAACGTCGGCTTTTTTCCACAGACTCACTTCAGACAATCACTTCATAATGAATTAAAATAGGTACAAGGAACAAGTCTGAAATAAATATGTAGAAAGATTACCATTCTACTTTACCGTTGAGCATCGAACCTAATTTTATCAAGAAATTAATCTAAGCCCACGTTATCTCACGACTCCATTTCGCTTTCATGGGGTGGGCGAAACACCTAATAATAGTTATATGAAGGACTTGGCACACTCGTTCGGGGAGTTGTCAGCTACCATCTATACCTTCAGTACGACTTTTACCAGACGCACGGTAGCTGTAGGACTACGATACCAATTATAACTGCAATGTCGCTGCCCAACTGCCCAAACGGTGCTTGAGGAGAGGAAGGAAGGGCGACGGTGAGTCGTAGCTTAGGAGTGGATGTTGTAATTTCGTCGTTCGTATACCCAGAAATGTCCTAGATGCGCTGACCGTTGTCCAGCTCCGTATCGTACGCTTGAAGCCTGCCGCAGGCCAATGTCTCTCCTCTGAGCCCTGCCTAAGTCCGGTTCGCGCAATTTCTCATCAGTTTATTACGACGCTCGCATATCAGCACGGCGCTAGCGAGAAAGAGAGGATTATCGTAGTTACTTACTCCTATGAGGATCGCTTTCATCAAATCTGGAATGCGTTTCCCTTGGCTGTTTATTCGATTCCACAGTGTTTGTCATGTCTATCTTTTCGCTGCATAAAAGCTGGCCTATGCTAAACCTGCCGGCGCGCACCAGGTGTATACAACTCCATATAGAAACTTCGTGTGTCTCAGTCTATCGTTAACCACTTCGGGCATTTACTTCGTAGAACTTGATATTAAGTGTAGATTTGTTTGGATGACGTGGTAATGAGAACTACGCAAAAAGCTTTTTGATTTTATTGAATCCTGGTAAGAACTTACCGCAACCACGTGAAACGTTTGCTTCATAAAATACTGACATAACGGCGTTTGACGACAATAGGCGTCACACAAAATAAAAAAGAAAAATGTCCCGACATAGTAAATTCTCTTTCCAGTTACTTTCAACTTTGAACTAAGCATATGCAAACCGCTCCTTAAGTATAATCATGTAAGCCAGATTGTTAGATAAAAACAGGACGCACTTAAGTTGCGCCTTCAGTTCAATTTCAAGGATTATCCATGGGAAACAAAGTTTACGTAAATATATATGATATATATGGCGTCCGTAAATCTCATATGCACTTTCGGAAGTTCGGAGTCCTAACAATGATTTCTAGGACAAAATTTGTTTATGTGTATTAATTTACTCTAGCGTTGATAGTGTTTGATAG